AGAGAGGATTGTAATTTCATAGAGGCTATTGTAACAAAATGGAAAGTGTGACTTCATAGAGAGAATTGTAACTTCATACAGTGGTTTGTTACATCATAGACAGCGGGTCCCCTGCCCAGGCCTGACGCCTGGGCCAGAGGCATCAGGCCTGGGCTGGGGGCAGAACCAGTGATGGGGGGAAATGAGGCTCCCCTGCCTAGGCCTGACGCCTCTAGGCCTGACGCCTCTGTTTGAGGCCGATCCTGCGATCGGAGGGTGATGGGGGTCAACGCCTGAGGGCTCCCAGTATGTGAGAGGGGGCAGATTGGGCTGAGGGACACTCCCCCACACACACACCCAGTGCACGAATTTCGTGCACCAGGCCCCTAGTTAAATAATAGCTCCCCATCCTCCCCTACCCCAGCCTCTGATAGAACTTGTTAATTTTCATACAAGTATGTTTAATCAGGATTCTTAAATAAGTTCTTTTCTTAGTTAATTATATTTTAAGTTAGATTTCACTGATACTCATGAAGTAGATATTGTTTTTCAGTGTTTATTACCTAATGAATTTCCTCTTTTGTAAACTGTCCATATTTGTCCATCTTACTTCTGGGGTATAGTGTGATGTTTTAGCAGGGGTACTATAGTGTGTTTTCCCCCATGGGTTAAAAACACTTTAATCAAATTAATTTTAGATAGCTTCCATGCAGCAGCATAGAAAACCTAGGAAGAAAAGGAGGATTATACTCTTCCCTTCTTTTTAAAAAAAAGTATTAGTTAGCTATCACTAATAATCATAATTAATAGTTCTTATTAAAAAAGAAACAAAATCTGCTTTACATAATCTCCAACCACCAGTCCCACGACTCTCAGATAATTACTTTTAGTAAGTTCTTGTGTATCCTTCCAGAAATATAAAGGTATGGTATAATAAAAATAAAATAAAAAACAAAAAAGCATCTATATATATAAAAGCCTAAGTGACCGTTATGACCAAACAACCGGAATGACAGGTCAACCAGATGCTATGATGCATACTGACTACCAGGGGGCAGATGTTAAACATAGGAGCTGCCCCCTGGTGGTCAGTGCACTCCCACAGCCATCCTCCCACGGCCAGCCAACCTCCCCCAGTCCCTCCCCATGGCTGGCAAACCTCCTGCGGTCCCTTCCCCCATCCGGCAGGCTTGTCCAGCAGGCCCCATCTGGCAGGCCCTGATTGGGACTGGGTGAGACGTCCAGCCTGGCCCTGATTGGGACTGATGAGACAGCCCCAATAGGCCCTGATCACCAGCCAGGCCTAGGGACCCCCCCACCCATGCATGAATTTCATGCACCAGGCCTCTAGTAGTGTAATAAATACATAAACCAGTAACAGTTATTTAATATCAAGTATTACCTACTGTACATAATTGTATGTGGTATACTTTTAAAAAATACATTTTTATTGATTTCAGAGAGGAAGGGAGAGTTAGAGAGACATAGAAACATCAGTGATGAGAGGGAATCATTGATTGGCTGTTTCAGAGAGGAAGGGAGAGAGAGAGAGAAAGAGAAACATCAATGATGAGAGAGAATCATTGATTGGCTGCCTCCTGCATGCTTCCCACTGGGGATTGAGCTTGCAAGCTGGGCACGTGCCCTGACCAGGAATCAAACCTCGACCTCCTGGTTCATAGATCAACGTTCAACCACTGAGCCATACTTGCCAGGCTGTGTTATCTTATACAATAAAATGCTAATATGCAAATCAACTGAGTGAGGGATGACTGGTTGCTATGACATGCACTGACCACTAGGGGCGCGGACGCTTAATGCAGGAGCTGCCCCTGGTGGTCAGTGCGCTCCCACAGTGGGAGTGCCACTCAGCCAGAAGCCAGGCTCATGGCTGACGAGCGCAGCAGCAGTGGCGGGAGGCGCTCCCGCCTCTGGCGGTGCTAAGGATGTCCAACTCGGACATCTCCCAAGGGCTCCCAGATTGCGAGAGGGTGCAGGCCAGGCTGAGGGGAACCCTGCCCCCCCAAAGTGCACAAATTTCATGCACCGGGCTTCTAGTATGTTCATAAGACTGGCAGTTCAGTAGGTTTGCTTACACCAGCATCACCACAAACACTGAATAATGCATTGTGCTACATTACAAAAGCTACCATGTCACTAGGTAATAATCTTTTAGCTCTGCTATAATCTTAGGGGGCCACTATCCTATATGTGGTCAGGCATTGACTGAAATATCTGTGCATGGCACATGCCTGTAAAGACAGTGGGAGTAACTGGCCTACCAGGATCTGAAAACAAGATGAGGGAGACTGCCTAGTGAACAGGGCTGCATGACAAGCCCCAGTCAACAGCTGGGGATGGACGGGTGTTTCTTGAACTGACTGTAGACCTAGGCTTTAGAGAGAGAGAGTACATACCTTCGTGTTATGGATAGTGCTATGAGTTACTGAAGGAGTTTGTGAAAATATATCCTTATCAAAGGCTGTTGATCAAATGACTTAAAGAGAAATATGAGTATCTAGACATCCTCTCAAACTCCCTATGGAGACTTTTCTTTAGTGTAACAGACCCCTTTTGGAAATTGGAAGAAAAGTTTTGAATCCTCTTCTCAAAAAATGAACAATAAGCACATAGGAGATATTGTCCATAATTTTAGGGAGTCCATGAACTTCTGAAACCTGCCATGGACTCCAAGTCTTGCTCTCACCTGTCTTACCTCCCAAGAAGCAGCCCAATACTCAGGTCTATTTTAGAACACGGTAACTTTAGTAAACTGGAAGCTGCTTCTGGAAGCAGGTGGATTTAGGAGATCAGTAGGTGTCATTACACATTCTTTTTACTTTGCAAAGAATTAAGATGTGGATAATGCGACCGAAGATGTCGCATTCCTGATCTTTTAGGAGGCTGTTATGGACAACTGCAAATAATGGTTTCTGACCTCAGACCCAGCTGAATCATTTAGCAAATATTTACTGGGCGCCTGATATACACAGGCATTGTGCCGGAGCCGAGCTCCTCAAGTTTGACAGTCATTCAGGGGAGATGGAAAGGGCTCTGGGTTGGCAATCTGATTTTTGTTTTCTCTACATCCTAGACTTGTGAGCTTGGTAAATCACTCAAGTTCAAATTGCTTCGTGCATTAAAGTGGAGGAGAACTGTCCCAAGTCTTCAAAAAGGTAACTTTTGTAAAGATACACATGGACTTATGAAAAAAAAACTTAAGTACGAGGTTTACTGAAGATGAGAGTTGGGAGGGTCGCCCCTTGAGAGAAGAGACTGTCTACTCCAAGACTCTACACTCCAGCCAAGGCGGCGCCCAGCACAGGGTCGCAGTCCGTTTCAATGAGCCTTCCGGGGCGGACCAACTTCCGCTTCCGCAGGGATGGGCGTGAGAGCCTGACGCCACGCGCAGGCTGGCGACGGACTGTGCTCATGCGCATGCTC